TGTACTTTTGTTAAATGAAGGAATATGATTATAACAATCCTTTGCATTTAATATAGCGCCTTATCACATCGTCAAGACTTCTCAAAGCGCTTCAAAGGGTATACAGTAAAGTGGATTGACTGTATTTTGGGGGTGAAACGCGGCAGCCAATTTGCACACAGCAATGTCCCACAAATAGCCATGGACTGAGTGATCAATTTTATTCAAGGGATTTTTTTTACCAGGATTATTTATTAACTTCCTGATACAATTACAGCTTTTAATTGTTTCACACATAAATATTTAGTTATACACATACATAATTAGTCCAAAAGCCTGTCATCTTAATGCAAGATAATAATCCTCACCTATATGATAAATCAAGCTGGGCAGGTGGCTTAGGAGTGAAAGGTGTTACTAAGTGAGCAATGAGCCATACAGGTCAAATCACAGGTTCATGGTTGATTGAATGAATGAATGAATATGCAAAGTCTGAACACTAAGAAACTAAACATAATGTTAGAATCAATGGAATCCAATCTGTGGTATTCCTTAAATGTTCTTTAAATTAATGCTGTATTCATTTTAGAAACACATAAGAAATGAATGCAAACCATCTAGTACATATCATGTAATAATATAATAATTCTTGCTTTTGATATAGCACCTTATCACAACGTCAAGATGTCTCAAAGCTCTTCATAGAATATGTTGTAAAGTGGTGCAAATCTGTATTGTGTGGCCAAACCCAGCAGCCAATTTCATTTATATTCATTCAGATTTACGTCTTCCATTAATGCTACCATACTTTGTTGTGGGTCAACTGCAGCTGGTGCAGCCGATCCAATGTAAGCACTGAGTGTGGGATAGTATCCCTCAACAGGAAGGGAGGGCTCAGCAAATACATTTTGGCAAAGTGCCTGCTATAGGGCTACTCATTGTCTTGCATATATTAGAATCCAGTGCTGCAAAATGTTGATCACTTTTCAAAGCGATTCCCTTTGCTTGAACAAGCATTTGCAGACGGGTAGAAAACTCATTAAATTTCTGTCTGCCATCCATCAACCTCTGCCCTTGAATGTGCATGCTAACATTTCAATTTGCATAGCATTTAAATATCATTAATAGTATTCCAGCCATAAAAATGCATTGCAATTAGTGAAAAAAATCATTTTCCCCTTAATTGGCAGGTTCCATGCAATTCTATTGACCATCTTATTTTCCTTGTCACCAAAGAATCTATCTTCTTGTATTGATTTATTATACATCTTTCAAATCACAGATAAGATCTTTGCTCTACAAAATGCATTAAAAATATCCTTTTGGTAATTGCCTAATTCTGAGCCTTATAGAAATAAAATACAGACAAATATTCCTTTTAGCTCTGTTCCTTAACATCTTACTTTTATAAAACTGGAATGAAATCCGCAAGATTTCACAACAGATTCAATGTGGTTATTATCTCTCAATCCCAGATTTATTAGGCAACGTCACTTATTTCCATCCATTCATAAAGAATGACCACAGAACTAGCCTCTCTCTGCTCCTGACTCCCTCTCCCCATCCATCACCAGCACAGTGATTGCAATTGAGGATTTCTCTGCTCCATTGATGTTCCTAATCACAGAGATCATCGTACATGTCTGACAAGAAATAGGACACTGCCTATTTGGGCACTGCCTCAGTGTATACTATGGCACAGCATTCAAAAGCTGCTTCCTGGATTTAAAAACAGAGTCACCCGAATTTTCCAGACATCTTAAATTACTCTGTTTTTCAAGTCAGACATACAACAACAACAACAACAAGATTCCATTTATAAAGCGCCTTTCACGTCAGGAGGACGTCCCAAGGCGCTGCACAGTTGGGTCATGACCCGAGCAGGGGGGAAATGGTCAGGGTGAGGGGAGGGAAGGGAGGGAGCGAGGAGGGGGGAAATGGTCAGAGTGAGGGGAGGGAAGGGAGGGAGCGAGGAGGGGGAAGAGAGTCGAGAGGGGAGCTGAAGGCTCGGTCAAAGAGAAAGGTCTTGAGACCGGCCTTGAAGGAGGAAAGAGAGGAGGCGGCGAAGGCACTGGGGGATAGAGTTCCAGAGCCTAGGGGCTGAGAGGCTGAAGGCCCGACCACCGATGGTAGGGCGATTCGGGTGGGGGATGTGGAGCAGATCGGAGCCAGAGGAACGGAGGGTACGGGCAGGTAGGTAGGGGGATAGTAGGTCAGAGAGGTAGGAGGGAGCAAGGCCGTGAATGGCCTTATAGGTGAGGATGAGGATCTTGAAATCAATCCTCTGGGGGATGGGAAGCCAGTGGAGGCGAGCGAGGGTGGGAGTGATGTGTTCCCGAAGCCTGGCAACAGCAACTTGCATTTAGCCCCCTTCATGTAGCCCGCTTCACATAGCCCCCTTCACATAGCCCCCTTCAGTGTCTCGGAGCACTTAAATAGAACCAAACTGATGTGGAAATCAGAAGGGAAGGAGGTTAGTTCCATGACCATTCATGAGGAATGGATGGAAATAAACAAAGCTTCAGAACAAATTCAAAGTGATGCCAATTTTGTTAAGATAGATCCCAATTGTTGCTCCATTGAATTTTGGTTAAATTTCTTCTACACTGGTAGAAGAACTACCAGCTCTACCAGTGAACACTGGTCCACGCCTTTATCACCTCAAGGCTGGTCTATGGGAACTCTCTCCTCGCCGGCCTTCCCGCCACCTCCCTCCACAAGCTGCAGGTCATTCAGAACTCTGCAGCTCGTGTGCTGTCCCACACCAGGCTTCACGACCACATCACTCCCACCCTCGCTCGCCTCCACTGTCTCCCTATCCCCCAGAGGATCGAATTCAAGATCCTCATCCTCACCTACAAGGCCATTCATGGCCTTGCTCCCTCCTACCTCTCTGACCTACTATCCCCCTACTTACCTGTAATCTTGTTAATCTTGTTGTTGTTCTACCTTTTTCTCTACCCTTCTCCTTTCTCTATAGCTCCTCCTGCTGTACGCAGGTTTGGTAAAGTCAGCTGATTTTTTAAGGCCTACAGTCACTATAAATGTGGGGCAGGTGGTGTTCTTCCTGTTGATGGTCCTCCCACATGGGACTCTTGGACAAAATTATCGCCGAAGTAAAACGGATTTAACATTATGCCTGTTAAAGATCCGTGGCACAAACATTCCTTGGGACTTGATACTTTGCACTTTGCCATCATTTGATATTTGTTACCTCATCAGTAAAAAATGATAACAAGGTTCTATGTATTTATTGTAGCCTGATGTTAATCATTCATAAGGCAAATGGGCATAAAACTGCACTCCAATTAACTGCAAAGGCACTTTGAGATATCCTCCCGATGTAAAAGGCACAAGCTATAGTAAAACTTAGGTAAGTCTGACCTGTATAAATCGTATATGTGTCGATGTGTATCTGGCTGTTGCTGCATATCTGTCTGTTGATGTATACCTGGGTGTTGCTGTATACATCTTCCACGTATTTTGTATTTGGGTATTGGTGTCTATCTGAGCATTACTGTATATGGTTATTTCTGTATATGTGGATGTGTCTGTATGTATAGTTGGTTCTGTACATATGAATGGTCCTGTGTTCTTGCTTTGTCTTAACAAAGAAATGGAACTGAAGGAGCTGTAAACAACTGAAGAATATAAAACAAAAGAGGCAGATCAAGAAGATTGAAATTTCCCATAAAAAGACTTAACTGAAACTGGATTATTAGAGAGCGAAATAGCCAGTCAGTTTGATCTTTCCTACAACAACAAAATTACATTTGTATAGCGTCTTTCAAGTTGGGAGGACCTCTCAAGGCGCTGGACAATCAGGGTTTCGGACCCGAGCTGGGGATCGGGGAGTGTGGAGGCCAGGGGAGGAAGAAGGGTGACCGAAGAGAAGAGTCTTGAGACGGGTCTTGAAGGAGGCAAGGGAGGGCGCGAGGTGAAAGGATTGTTGGATGGAGTTGCAAAGGGTGGGGGCAGAGAGGTGGGGTGGGGGAGGCAGGGAACGTGAAGCAGGCCAGAGCATGCTGAGCGGAGGGAGCGGGCAGGTTGGTAGAGGGTCAGGAGGTCGCAGACGTGAAGCAGGTCAGAGCATGCTGAGCAGAGGGAGCGGGCAGGTTGGTAGAGGGTCAGGAGGTCGCAGAAGTAGGGGGTAGTAAGGCTATGGAGGGCTTTGAAAGTGAGGACCAGGATCTTGAACTGTAACGTCTGTGTGATGGGAAGCCAGTGGAATCGGGCTAGGATCGGGGTGATGGGATCGCAGAGCCTGGTGCGGAAGAGGACAGGGGCTGCAGAGTTCTGGATGATCTGCAACATATGGAGGGAGGAGTTGGGAGACCTACAAGCAGGGAGTTTGCATAATTGAGCCGGGATGTTATGAATGCATGTATTTTGGATTTAGGCGGCCTGCGGTGTGAGACAGTGACGGAGCCGGGCAATGTTGTGGAGGTGGGGGAAGGCAGAGCGGGTCATGGCACGGATGTGGGATAGAAAGGACAGTTGAGGGTCAAATAAGAAGCCAAGGTACCGGACTGGCTCAGTGAGGTGGAGGGTGCATCCTTGGATGGTGATGCTCTCGGCGCCTGAGGTGAGGAGGCGCTGAATGGAGCCAATCAGGAAGGCCTCAGTCTTGTTGACATTCAACTGGTGAAAGTTAGCTCTCATCCAGGACTTGATGTCTGACAGACATTCTGTCAGGACAGCAGTGGTCCTGGAGTCAAGGGTGGAGGCAGAGAGATAGAGTTGCATGTAATCCACATACATGTGGAAGTTGACTCCATGTCTGCAGATGATGTCACCAAGAGGGAGCATATAGATATTTAAGAGGAGGGGACCAAGGATAGAACCCTGAGGAACACTACACGAGAGGGTGCAGGGGTAGGAGGAGAAGCCATTTGTGGAGATGAAGTGGATACGGTGTGAGAGGTAGGATCTGAACCATATTCCTAGACTGACATGTTCAAGACATAAAATAAAACTCACTGCTGTGCACAGAAAAACAGGTGATTTGTTTTGTTCCTTACCTATCAATCACTGTGTCCTTTTGTCTCAGTAAACACTCCTTTATCTTCACTGATGAATCCCATTGGTTTGAGTCCTGATGTAGCTGGGTGGGGTAGACCATAGAAACTTGTCGAGGTCCCTCATTGAGTATCTGAAGAGGAAAATTGTAAATAACGGAGTTAGTACAGCAGGGTTGAGGATCTATATCTCCAAATTTTCTTTGGAGACTTGCCTGTTTTGCCAGCCATGAATTCTTGTTGCTGGTTCAGCTTCTCTCTTTTCACTATGTTACTTATTTTATCAATGTTAAAAGAGTGAAGGGTTTTGTTGACCCTTTCCCAGTCCGTTACTCAACCAAGTTAAGAAGTTACATTAAGAAAAAATGGAAGAGAAGCCCTTAGAGATCAATTCGAGTCCCACATGGGTTTGGCTTTGCACCAGATAAAGCATAAGATCAGTCTTCAGGCAAAATAATATTCAGGGACCAGTGTGTTGTTGGTAACAATCTAGATATGTACATACACATTATCCTACTGCAGACAGTAGTGTGACTCACAGAGAGACATAATAGCTGCTGCACTCCTGTGTAATAAATCAAATTATTTATATTTTATTTTTAGATGTTTAATTTAAAAGAATCTTTGAACAGGCTGTGAATAATATTTATCCAGAATATCAATTTCTAAAAGGAACTGTGTTGACAAGCTTCTGGATGTCCTGCTTTTCATGCTATTAATAAATGACTTGGAGAACACTTCCAGTAATATTCTAACATTTGATGATGATACAAAGCTATGTGGGCATGTAACAGAAGGAGTGTCAGTTGGATTTCCATGTAGATTGATGTAAGATTACCTATATTACAATGATAAATAATATATCTATCTGCTTAATGAAGGAATTCAAATTGGCGCAGATGGAGAAGGAGAAGTAAAAAAAGATTTGGTGTGATTTTTGATAAATTCAGAAACAAATTGCACTGGAATCTGGGCGTAGAGACAACTGTGAGATGGTTTCAAGTTGAATCTGAAAGTTTGTAAACATCAATTTGTTTTAATCCAATATACCATAAAGCAATGGCATCCACTGATGCCTCAGAGATGGTGATTAGAGAGGACCTTAACTCTATATTCCTCAGCCTTAAGCAATTATTGCACCTATTTGTGAGTGGTGCAATGTACCTCAAAGCTCCATCCTTGACCCCTTCCTGGACACTTTATAAATGAAAGTTATGAGTCTTTGACCTTTACATTTTACTAATTTTGAAATCAACCATAAAAATATGGGGTGGGTCAAGGTCTGGGAAAATCTCCAGCACAAACTTCAATGTTTCACTCGGGGTCAAAATTGAGGCATGTGATATTATTATCACATATGATTGCCAAAAGTGCAGCCATAAATATTCAATATTGATCATGAAGGGGAAATTCACCAGAGTTGATGTGTCTGAGGATTGGGAAACCTTGAATATGTTTTCTTTGCATTCCTCAATGTATTTAATTGAAGGTATTGTCCAGAATTTCAGTGGTCCACAGAGAATTCCAGGCAGTGTTGGTGATAGTGGGGATTCAGATCCTATAGGCCTTCCTGTGTCGCAGAAATCCAACATAACATGTACTCTGTAATGGATACAAATACTGTACTCTCAACTACTGGTCTGAATCAATTCTCTCTCAATGGGCCATAACTCAGCATTACAGTTCAGCAGCCTGCATGTTGTTTAGAGACTTTTGCAATATCACTAGATTCAAACATCAGCCATTTACAATAATAATTGCATTTATCATGGCATCTCAATGTCTCAAAACACTTCATAGTATACACAGTAAAATGGATTTGGCTGTGTATTTTGTGGATAAAACACAGCATCCAGTGGCACACATTAATATCCCACAAACAGCCCTGGAGTGAGTGGCCAGTTTTATTTGGGGAATTGTTGGCCACTGGAAAAGTCGCCTTTCTCTTTTAGAATAGTGCCAGGGGAACTTTAACATCAAACTAAACAGGCGGACGAGACCGCGGTTTAACCTATCATCCAAAGTATGGCACCTCCAACAATGCAATACCCCCCCACTGCATTGGAATGTCAGCTTAGACTATGTGATTTTAAGACCCACTTGGAGCTTGAAACCTACAACCTTCTGCCTCAGAGGTGAGAGTGCTTCCACTGCAGCAAGCTGACATACAATACAAAGTTACATTTATATAGCATCTTTCACATTGGGTTATATCCCAAGACACTGAGCAACTCAAGGTTTGCACCGGAGCCTGGGATGGGGTGCCAGAAGATGGGGCTGAGGAGGGCAAAGATGACCAAAAGCAAGATTAAAGAGGAAGGTCTTAAGGCAGACCCTAAAGGAGAAGAGGGAAGAGGCGACTCAAAGGGGCTCCGCAATGGAATTCCAAAGAGTGGTGGCAGAAAGCCCAAAAATTGAGGGACAGGGGACATGAAGCAGGCCGGTGCCCATTAAGCAGAGGGAATGGCCAGGTTAGCAGGATTTGAGGAAGCCACCGAGGTAGGGTGGGGCAAGACCACAGAGGAATTTAAAGGTTAGGACAAAGAGCTGCTTATCGCTTAGCCTATTGTTCAAGTACTCCCTAATTTGTCACTCAATGATCTACCTGTCTAATAATGAACATTTTAATCTTCACTTTTTCATTCAGTGCTCTCTTTTTAGGGAAGGGAGAACATGAGAAGATTATAATTATAAGATTATAATTATAATTATAACCCTTGTATTTGATCATGTTGTTGAGATGTCTCAAAGTGTTTCACAGAATATATTGTAAAGTGAAATGATTGTGTGTTTTGTGAGTGAAAAGAAGGAAGAAGAAATAATTAGAAGTATGAATCCTGCCTTGCACAACTACACTTCTGTCATTTTATGACAGTCTGGCACTTACACAAGTTTTGGCAAAATGAGCAGCCCAGATCTTACTGTCTTTGTGGAAGAAGAAAGAAGCAAGGTTGACTGAGGCAGGAAACGAGAGCCCAAAATGGGAGTGGGGTGAAAGGGAAGGTGGAAATAAATGAAATAACCCTTTTCTATTGTTTTTATTTTTGCAGTCTGTTGAGAAAAACATTGTTCTATGAAATGATTTATCTGACACAAACATACATGACTCACTCATAGCATGGCGTTAAAATGTTTCCAACACATTGTATTTTGTTGGCATTTCATGATGGTGGTTGAAGCCAAATAGTCTCATTTCACTAGTGGAGCTTTTGTTTCTCACATTACGGAAATGCGTCACATAAGCTATTTTTGCACTTTGTTTCTCATGGGTGCAAAACCTTCCTTTAGGACTAGCTAACCCCAGAGGAACAATAGGTCAAATAATTTCAGCCATGAATGGAAACATCTGCTGTTGTCATCCCACCCGTTTTACAGTCCATTAACCTTAGTGTGGGGGTGTCCAGTGGATCCAATACACAAAACTTATTTCCCACTAGGCTTTGTGCTTGATTTTTAGAGCCTGGCAATCCTCCAGTATGCTGTAAAGGATACCAGCCACTGGAAAAAAGCTAAAGCTTTCTGATGTTCTGGCTGTCATACAAACAATAGACAGCATTACGTGCACATATTCAGTCCAGAACATGTGCCAGGTTGTGTGAAAAAATAGCACATAGCCTGACAGACCTGGACTGCGCACAGAGCTTAAATAAAGCTTTCATTTGGGCCCCACATTCAGCATGGCTAGTATCAATGGGGAAGACACGAGCTGTAGCTGAGTGAAAGGTTTATGTATTGGATACATGACACAACATGATGCAGTTAACAGTACTGCCTGTTTAGGATTGCAGTTCAAGGACTATCCATAAAATGTTGTTTATGTATCAGATTTATCTGTCCAATCTACAAGATTCTCTCCAAAAAACATTTAGGACCCATCAATTTTGTTGTTTGTTTGGTCAGCCAGGTGTCTACACATGCGCAAACCCATTACCATGCTAAGAGTATCCAAACCAAACTGAGAGTTCCATGCATTCCACCTGTACGTGGAAAGTTTATTGGAATTAAATGCACACTTTCTCCCTAGAAGAATCCATCCTGCTTACTTAAATCAGGAGAGTATTAGACGCAGTTGGCACAATCCAAGGTTGGGGACGTCAGAGTGAGCGTTGGGATACTGCTGGAGTCTAACCAGCTAAAACCACACAGCTTGCTATTGATATTGCTATCTGGCAAGCTTTCACGCTGCTTGTCCAGCTAGGACTACCTTACCCATTAGAGCTTTGGCTTGCAGAGTTAACAGAAGCTGAGTGGGATGAACTGCCTGCCCCCATGTCTGCCTTCCAGGTCCTGATAATGTGCTGTCATCAGCAGTGCACTGGAATAATGAGGACCAGCCTGCTATTTGAAAATCAGGAAACACAAAAGCCATCTTATTAATAGTGTTCCACTCACACTGGGAAAATGGAAGCTGAAACTCCCATCTGTGCAAGCTGACAGGTGAACAAGTCTTCAATGCAAGCTTTCTGTAAAATATGTAAGGTAATGTGCTTTGAGATAATGGAACCTGAATTTGGGATACTGTAGTATAAAGTCACTGTTACAAAACGTACTGTCAGGATCTGCTTGGAATCATTTCTAATCCATCCATTCTGAATGTGATTCACGGAAGCAATATCCCATTACGAGTTCAACCAGCAAGAGTTCAACCTTCATTCTTTTTTTCTATTTATGGTTCAAAGGGACACATAAAACGACGGCCTGTAAAGCTTTAGTCATCTGTTTTCAACACTTGAAAATGTTTCCAAACGTATTAGAGAACAATAATGTGAATATGACAAGAGATTGCTGTACTTAAGTGTCACTGCAACGGAACTTTCATCCAAGGTCACTTCACCCTATTATCGTTGCAATCAGCTCTGCATCCTCTACAACAGTACACAGTGGGGTAGAAATCCAATGTGTGATGTAATCATTTTCCTTGGAGTTGTGCAGCACTTTCATCACAATGCAATGTTCAAAATAGGGAAAGAAATAACTTTTTATGGTCCCAAGCATGCTGATAGGTCTCCAAGTTTAAACATCTCAATTCATTATAGTCAAGTGTGGTGACTGTTTTGCAGGCAAATGCATCAACCTTTGTTCCAGCAAGATCGCAAAACAGCAAATCGATAGATTTATCTTCAACAAGATAACA